CATAAATGTAAATTGAATTTTAATATGAATTGTATTTTTAGTGAAGGAAAAGCATCACGTTATGCACCTCATGAAGCAGAGCTGGAATCTAGAGGAAAAAGTCAAATGTAAGAGAGTTTGGTCACTAATTCTCATACTCCATCGTGTTTTTCATAGCTGATATGGCTTCATTATTTATATTTCCGAATAATGAAGATTGAGTAGGTGTGTCCAAAGGTTTGGTGGTGCCGCAGCAGACTGTGCTGCTGAGGTTTCTTGAGCGTGTGTGTTTAGTGAGTAAGCGGGTGGATGGGGGTCCTGGTTTGTTATGGCCCATCTGCATGTCACCTGGCCGGGGCGCTGGGGAGTGTGGGTAATGACTGGGAAGGAATGGCATCGCTGGGCCTCGGTGGAGGGGTAATTATGGAGTGTAATCCATGCAGAAACTGCACATCTGGATCCATCAGGCTGATCCACGGATGGTACAGTGAGCCGAGCACAGATCGGGAACGTCAGTGTCACAGAGCGGAGATGAATATAGACTGGAGTGTGAAAAATACCATTGCCAAAAGAAACTAAAGAGTCTATAGAGTGATGGTGAATGATAGTGACACGCTCCGATCTGATGCCCACCTTTAATTGACTCCTAGATATGTTAGCATGAGTTCATCTTACCTTTTACTGTCCAACCAAAGAGATTGTCAGGGTTTCGTCAGTGTTTCTCTTAAAGTCAACAATACATTTCATTCTTTATTATGCAACCTTTTTCCAAATAAGACTGGTTTTTTAAAAAAGATTTTTATCCATTTTATGTTGATTTTATGGTGCATTCAGACTTATGGCATAGCTTATACTATACAACTACAATTACTTGACAAAAAATATTTATTCATTTATTATCACATTAATTGGACACAAATCCTGATCTATTTAGTTTAATATTATTAATAAATGTGATATAATAAATAAATACAAATTATATATAGATTATATATAGAAATTATATTTAAATAAAACATTTTATATGAAATATTTGTGTTTTCATTTCATGTTTTTGTGTTTTTCATATATATATGATCACTGTATAAACGCGCGCACACACACACACACACACACACACACACATATATATATACATACATACATACATATACACACACACAAACACACAGTTTATTAATAATCTAAACACATTAACAAATGTATCTAGCCATGTTTTTCATACCGAACATTTACACTTATTGAACAGGCCTTTATTTTTTAGAGTCCACACATTAAATCCTAAGCAAACTCATTTCCTTCATTTAGTCCATTGATTTTTCATCATATTTATGAGGCATGTGCGTCTTTTAGGCTTGGAAAATTTCATTATGTTTTTTATTGGAGTTTTATCGTTGCTCGTAAGGCGCTCCTCTCCACCTCCAATTATGCCTCCTGTGTTTACTGAAACTGTATTCATGGAAATGTGTTTGTTTGACACAGGGCGGCATTATTAGAAGTGAGAACATGAGCAAACACGGCACAAACTGAATCCAGCGCGCTGTGGATTGATTGCATAAAAGCAAACAGAGCTGAGAAATTAATTTTAAATATGGAGAAATCTAGTGTACCTCTGTTTCTCGCAGCGATGGAGCAGAAATTAATTTTGATGTCATATTGTGTGCTTTGCTGTTTGAGAGCGCTGATGTTAGCATGCTAATTTGAAACTGTAGCTGGCCAAGCTATAAGATACTCGTAGTGTAATTTAATTAAGTAATTAAACTGCACTCTTATATCACTCCAAACCTGTGTGACATTTGACCATGAAGCACAAAAGGACAGATTTTAAAGAATTATACCGGTCGAGGTTGGATATGCAATTGTAATGAATAAGGACGGGAGCTTTATGCTTCAAAAATATTGAAAATCGCCGTACATGAGTCATAATAGTAGAATAAGCCATTATGCCAGGTCCTTATATATAATGCATACACTACCATTAACTCAGTAAAAGATTTCTATTTTAAATAAATGCTGTTTTTTTTTTTTACTTTCTGTTTGTCAAAGAATCCTGAAGAAAATGTATCATGATTTCCAGGAGCTCAACTGTTTTTCAAAAAATAACAAGAAATGTTTCCTGAGCAGCAAATCAGCATATTAGAATGATTTCTGAAGGATCATGTGACACTGAAGACTGGAGTAATGATGCTGAAAATTCAGATTTTATCACAGGTATAAATTACATTTGTAAAAATATTCATATAGAAAACGTTTTAAATTATTGCTGTTTTTCCTGTATTTCTGATCACATAAATGCATCCTTAGTGAGCGTAAGATATTTCAAAAACATTTTTAAAAAATCTTATTGTCCCCAAATTTAAAGGTATAGTTGACCCCAAAAATTCAAATATTTTAGTACTGGGGTCCAAATAACATTCATTGTATAGACAAAAAAAAAACATCTTTTAAAACATATTCTCCATATATTCTTCTAAAAGAAAGAAAGTCATGCAGGTTTGAAGTGACATTAGGGAGAGTAAATGGGTAATTTTTGGGTAAACTATTCTTTTAAAGCTCAAACTTTTTGTACCACTACACAGATGAGTTAGTATTCACTACTTTAAGATAGTAAAATGATTTGAATGGACAATTTTTGTAACATAAACTAGTAATAGGGGTTCACATACATACAGTATTGGTGTATCAGAAGCATAGTCTCCATTTTCTCGCTCACATTATACTTATTCAAATGAAAGACTTTTGTAATTAAACCGATAAAGTTTGAACCACCGTGCTTCAAAAAAAAAAATTTTTTTTATAGCCAGCGCTCATGGAGAAGCTCTGACCTTTTGGGTAGCATCTTCAATTATCAAGAACTAAATTAATTTCACCCACTTCTAGTGCCAAAAGCTTTGTACTCATGCCTGAGCATTGTTATTGTTAGCTTTAAACAGTCTTTCAGCTGTGTTTGTCCTTTCAGCCAACTGTAATAGTCCTCCTTCCATGTCTAGCACTCTCCAGTGGCGTTAAGACTGGATTGGCCTCCAAAATGAGGGTCAGAGGTCAGCGTACAGGTTTGCAGTGGAGTGCGCTAGTTGGCATTCGTAGCTCGCCAGGGTTTTTCCATTTTTCCAGAGCTTAGCCATGCTTCAAAACCCTTCCTCAACGAGCCGCGGGCACCTGGCACCACTTCTCACGTCGCCTCTTCAGCCTGATTACTGCGGTAGAAGAGACCCTCGACGATCGGTCTGCTCCTGCGAGCACAAAGTGCTAACTACCTGTCTGCACGAAAGCAGAAGTGCTTTTCCAAGTCTTCTGAAGACAACAGCTTGACAACGTGCATCAATCTCTTGCTCTGATTGTCAGGTGTAATGCCTTTTTAATTGCACGGGGAAAAGTGAAAATGGCTGCACTAGTGTTTTCTATATGTCAGCCTCTATCAGCGGTGGACAGATGCGGCGTTAGGCCGTTTATTTATTTATTTTGTTGTCGCTGACACAAAAGTGCCACGCATCGCTCATTGTCTTTCTGTGCTCAGATTGAGCACCGTGCTAAAAATGGCTTGAGACAAAGCATCTCTCCTCGCCGCACGATCTGCTAGCGCTTGCACAAAGATGCAGAGAGACGGGCGGACTGCATAATGCGTTTGTCAGCGGGCCGATGAGTCAGCCGGAGAAGAAACGGCCGTCCGGTTTGACGTTTCACCTGACGCTGTGCTTCTCAGACTTTGAGGTTAGCTTAGCGCAAATTCAAGACAAGTCAAAGGAGCACGATTGGCGAGAGTGAGCTGGAAAAAAGGACCTGTGCTTGGTGAACTATTTTTATAAAACTTTAAATAATAGTCAGTTTATTGAATATGAAGTCACAATATAAAAGAAAATCTACAATAAAAAGTTTGCACATGTGTGTGATACATAAGGCTTTTATGTCTCATATAGTATGGTACTGGAGAATACCCACAAAAATCCACAAATTGAGCTAAAATATGCAATTTGGCAAAATGCTGATGTTTATATGGCCAAAAAGAAAGATGAAATTCTGATTGTAATGTAAATCAATTAGTTCTTTATACCTGTATAGCAGACACTTACATTAAATGCATATTAATATCAGTTGTCACTGTATATCTCCCAATAATATGTCTATTATTGCAGAAAGATGATATTTAAATGCTTAGCTTTATGATCAAAGCTCTGTGGTTTTAAAACATATAATGCAATGTAATATAATGATGATTGAGAGATGATCAAATAAATGTCCCTCAAAAGCCTGATGATCATATTTGATACTCGCATTTGAAAATGATTTTTCAAAAAATGATGTATGAATAATCAAGCAAACCTAAGTTGCTTCAGTCCAGTAAATGTTCATCTTGAAATATTACAAACAAAAGAAAAGTTATTCTTACGGTTACTTTATAAAATCAGTGGAGATTTCACAGCAAGGTGGAGCTACAGGTGAATGTTAGTACAATTACACTAAAAGGCCTTTTGCTTGTTAAATAGTGTAAACTATAAATCAGATGACAGAAGGCATGTATTAGATTGTGTACGACAGGTTTTCCAGCAAAATTTTGATCATGCTGATCATTTAGATGCCTTAGAAATTCATATATCAAATATGATACAGTACACTCTAAAAAATGCTAGGTTAAATATAACCCAGCGCTGGGTTAAAAAGGGACAAACCCAGCTATTGGGTTGTTTTGACCCAGCGGTTGGGTTGTTTTGACAACAACCCAACTGCTGGGTCAAAACAACCCAACCGCTGGGTTATATTTAACCCAGCATTTTTTAGAGTGTAGGCTTCATAGTTGCTGTTGGTTGCCTGTATATAAACTAAATTACTTTATTAATGCTATTTTGTAAAAGCAACTAGTCAGCTGAGTCTGGTAAAACCATTGGTAAGACTTCATATTGTGCCTTTAATCATGGTAAAATCACTGTAACTCACAGCCTCTTACGGCTTATGTTTTATTTAGCATTTTAAATCTCAACTCTTTAATATCAGCACTGACTAGTCTTGTTTTATACTTTTACTAGGTACATTCAAGGAGCTTCTTCTCCCAAGGACATGGTCATCCTCGTGGACGTGTAAGTATCCTCTCGAACACACTCTCCATCTGTCTCTCTGTGTGTCTCATATGCACTGCATTAACAAACGGTCATCTGTGTTGATAAATGTGTTGTTTATGATGCCATAACAGCAGTGTGGTGCTCTACTGCCACCTGTCGGCTGAAAAGAACATTATTCCATCTTATTAACCTTGTGCCTCAACATCAAAATGCTTCCGTGTTCCTGAAATATGACTTAGAGGTTATATGCAATGAAAAATGGCATTACTGTTGCCGATATCTGAGCTGCTGGTGGAGAATTTAAAACATCCTGCGACTCTGATCTTATCTGACCTCTAAAATGCATAATCTAAAAAAACACTTTCGCATCATACATAAACAGATATGTTTACAGATGAATTTATTGAAAGTTATGCATTGCATTTTTTTGAGTTCATAGAATTGTCGTTTTAGCTATAATTAAATGCATGATCATTTTGTTGTTAAATGCTACGTTTAGTGAATCATCGAGACCTTCTTTTGAAATCTTTTATTTATCAAACCTTAAGTGTTAGGCATTTAGAGTCATTGGTAACAATGCTGCATAGTTTAACAAATAAGTGATTGACTCAATCATACAGCCATTATGTGCATAATCGTCAAAAAATCATTAATTTTCTTAAGTAAACCTCTCTAGAAAAACTGCTTAATGGAGGTTAATTGTCACTGGCTGGCAATCCTCCATAACCTTAAATAGATACCGATGTCTAATTAAAAAATACACCAATGGCAGCTGTCGCTTTGCCAAGGCAATCTCATGCCAATCAAAAGCACCATCGCGCTGAATGTTTCTGACAATCTTAGACTAATCTCATTGTGACGACTGGAAGCATGAGACAATAGTGCTGTCACCAGGGTTTTTTTTCCCAATGTGCTCGGCTTTATTTATTAAACCTTCTAACTCTGGAAGCCAAATTACACATGAACTCGTGCTCTGTGATTGCTTTTTCAATAGCTGCTGTAGGCTATTAATAAATCCAATTTGCAGCATAGAATTCAAATGTACTTTGTTTTTGAAGATCGACTGTCTCCGTTCTGTCTGTGAAGATGGTGCTTTTTAACATGCCGTCTACAATTTACTTTTGATGGATGGGGATGAGGGAGACACTTAGCAACAGGTTCTGCTTGGCAACGGCAGTTATGGGCTTGTGTTGCTGTGCAGTGCTGTTTTGAGACATGACTGGTTTGTTAGATAAATGTTGTAATGTTCAGTGTGTGTGATGTATTTGTGTGTTTGTAGGAGCGGTAGTGTCAGTGGACTGACCCTGAAGCTAATGAAAACCTCTGTCATCGAGATGCTGGACACACTTTCTGATGACGA